TATGTTTTTTTTTTATAAAATTGTTTTAAATATGATACACATCTATAGATAAAAGTTGAAATGATATATGTATATCTTTTCTATTTACGTGGAACAGTCCCAAGAAAAGTGCTCTGAACCTACCTTTTTTTCTATTTATTTTATTTATTTGTCCCATAAAAAATTTTGAGTACTTGACACACAATGTTACATTAGTTTTAGGTGCACAACTTAGTAAATTGATAAGTTTATAATGTTGTACGTTATACATTACAAGTGTGGCTACCCTCTGTCCCAGTACATCACTATTAAAATATCATTGACTGGGGGCGCCTGGGTGTCTCAGTTGGTTAAGCGTCCGACTTCGGCTCAGGTCATGATCTCGCGGCGTGTGAGTTCAAGCCCCGCGTCGGGCTCTGTGCTGACAACTCGGAGCCCGGAGCCTGCTTTGGATTCTGTGTCTCCCTCTCTCTCTCTGCCCCTCCCCTGCTCACGCTCTGTCTCTCTCTGTCTCTCAATAATAAATAAACATTAAAAAAATTTAAAAATATATCATTGACTGTATTTTTATGTTGTACTTTTTATTCCCATGACTTGTTCATTCCATAACCGGGAACCTTCACCCATTTTGCCCAACCCCAAACCCCTCTGCTCTGGCAACCATCAGTTTGTTCTCTAAACCTTTTATTACTTAATGTATCTTAGAGATCCCTCCATAGGTACCTCTCCTTCTCTCCCATCTACCTTATTCTTTGTATCTCCTGCATAGTATTACATTATGTAGATGGTTTAACATTCTGGTCCAGTTCCTTATTAATGGGCAGAGACTTTCTCTTGAACTTTTACTGTTTCAGTAATACAACTGTGACTATCCCTGTACGTATATCTTTGAACAGTTCTGCAAAGGATGTGCATGTTTTCCATGTTGATTGTTGTTGCTAAATTGTCCTTCAAAAACTAAATTGGTTTTCACTAATTTAGTTGTACCACCAAAGTGCTTGAGTGTGCTTGATTCCCTGTCAATCTTTTCTAGTTTTTGCCAGTATGATAGAAAAGTTTTCTCTCCTTGTTCCGATATTTCTTGGATTGTGTGTGAAGATGAGGACCATTTTGAATTTATAAGCAATCTGTACTTTATTTGTGAATATTCTCTTCCCCTCCTTTGGTTCTTTTTCTGTTTGGTTGTTTTTTGGTTTTTGTTTTTGTTTTTTCTCATTAGTTTAGATGAAGTCTTATCAACCTCCTCAGACCTTTCTTGAGCCTTGATCTAAAATTGTAACTGAGTCTCACCTCAGTGTGTTTAATCCTCTGCATAGGATTACAACTGGATATATTTCCCACTTGTTTGTGGGTTTCTCTTTTTCTAGAGTAGAAACTCTTAATCATGGATCTCATCTGTCTTGTTCATTATTGTATCCCCATCACATAGATCCACACCTGGCTCATGATAAGCATTCAGGTGTTGTTGAGTGAATGAAAGAATAATTGAATTAGCCTGTATGGGTTATAAAAATTTTTTGTTTGTTTTTCTAATTTTGTTTATGGAATTTTTCCCAGTGGCAGCTTTGAAGTGTTTATGCAACCACATTTATCAATAATTTTCCTTGATGATTTCAGAAACTTCCTTGTTCCACATTTATAAATAAATTTACCTCTGCCTCCTTTAAAGACTCCTGTGGCTCCATCTTCTAAGTTCAAGTGTTAGACCTCTATAAAATTTATTTTGATATTTTAAAAATCTAGTTTTAATTTTTCTCACAACAGTTGGCTAGTTCCTTGTCATTCGTTGAATTGGCTCTCCTGCATGCATTTAGCATACAACTTTATGGTAAACTACATTTCCACGGGTTTCTGGCCTCAGTCAGATTGTTTTAATTGCCGCAGTTTCATGATATGTTTTCATATTTGCCGAAGCTGATCTCTCTCCTTTCTTTTCTGTTTTTCATGGTATGATTGCCTATTAGCTTTTTTCCAGATGAATTTCAGAATCATTTTGCCAAGGCTGAAAAAATATTTTAAAGCAATGCATAATAGTATTCACATATACTCAGAATATATGCCTTGTATAGTTTTTGTCTCATGTTTCGAGCTGATGAGAATTTAATTTGTTCAGAATTCATGCTATTAAACTTAGGATGGGCTGGATATCAGAAGTTGCTTGTTGGAGAAATGCATGTGAGAAGAGTTGGCATCCTTTGGCAAGAGGGATTTTGATTTAGGCTGGATATGCTCTGTTAGAACTTTTGAGTGTCAGTGGGTGCTATATTTCTGGATGTGGCGTTTATACTTGAGTGTGATGAACTACTGACGAGTTATCCTTAATCTTAACTGCCTGTTTTGGATGCATCTTGCAAGAGACACTAGATACAAAAAAAGCCTAAACTTTAGTCTTTCTTTTGCTACTAATGAGCCATTTAGCTCTTGATAAGTTAAACGGAGTTTCTGATCTTGTTCCCTCATCTGTAAAACGAGCATAATCTGCACTCAATTCATTCACTCATCAGATAATACCTTATTTTTCTGCCTACCTTTGGGAATTACTGTAAGGAACAAATAACAGAATTCTGGTAACATTTTTGTTTGAAAATGTTAGGTCCTGGTTAAGCATTGTTCCTTGAAAAACTTTTCATTTGCTTACCTCCAGTCCCCCTCTCCCCAAATCCCATCGAAAAGATGATAAAGGAAAAAAAAAAATTAAAGCCATAAGCCAGGAAGAGCAAAAAACAAAAAAACAAACAAACAAACAAAAAACAAAAAAACAGGCCAGCAATTGCAGCAAAGAAAAGAAATCGGCAGAATTTCGGGAGCTGAAAAGTAGAGCAGAAAAAGCCAAAACTCATTTGCAAGATGTAGTGAGGTGCCAGTTGAAGCAGTCCCAGTGCCATTCTGGAATTGGAGGCACCTGGTGCGTCCAGAGCTGGGGTTGAAAAGATGATGATGAATTGCAAGTCTAAATGAGGACCTGTAGGACCCCAGGAGCCCCTCCCTTGCCACAGTGAATGTTGGAAAACGTGGTAAAGATGAGGGCTGAGGAAGGTGATGTACTTGGGAGGGGAAGTTGGGACTGGGATGGGGGTAGTAATAGAGACATAAATCTTCTCCCATAGCAGGAAGTCAAAAGATAATATGTTTTTTAAAAGTTAAGACATAGAAGACTTTGCATGCTATTAAGAAGGAGGCAATTGAGAGGTGAAACGACACACAGGAATTGAAAGTGATTCTGTGGGAGGGGCGCCGGGGTGGCTCAGTTGGTTTAGCGTCTGACTCCGGCTCAGGTCACAGTCTCATGGTCTGTGGGTTTGAGCCCCACATCGGACTCTGTGCTGACAGCTCAGAGCCTGGAGCCTGCTTCAGATTCTGTGCGCCACCTCCCTCTGCCCCTCCTGCACTCACACTCTGCCTCACTCTGTCTCTCAAAAATAAATAAATGTTAAGAAAGAAAGAAAGAAAGAAAGAAAGAAAAAGAAAAAGAAAGAAAGAAAGTGATTCTGTGGTTGATGGGGAGGACAGGAGCTTCTTCTTTTTTTTAAGTTTATTTATTTATTTTAAGAGAGACAGAGACAGGGTGTGTGGGGGAGTGGCAGAGACAGCAGGGGAGAGAGAGAATCCTAAGCAGGCTCTGGGCTGCCAGTGCAGCACCCAATGCGAGGCTTGAACTCAAGAACTGTGAGATCATGACCTGAGTCAAAATTAGTGGGTCGCTTATCTGACTGAGCCACCCATGTGCCCCCTTTTATTTTTGTATAAGCCTTGGTAGTATTAATAACTAGCACGTTGCTTGGTAGACTTTTAAAACTAGGTACATGTATTATAGTGACAAAAAATAAAATGAAATAAATGACTTCATGCCATTGTAGAAAAGTGAGTCTCTAGCACAAGGCTTGCACAAATGCCTGTAGAATAGTTAAGTGAATATTATTCAGTTATTTAGAAAACCCTTTTTCCCTTGTTGATGGTGCTAGATAGGAATTAGAATTAAATAGTGTGCTTTATGGATTGACAAGTAATATATGTGGAATATCACAGTATATAAAACCAGTCTCTTTATTTTGAGGACTATAGCCATGTCAGAAGGCCTTTGAATAAAGTTAACAAAAATACAAAATGTCAGTCTGGACTTTGGATTTACTTTATACTTTTAATTAAGGAAGTTTTAGGGTTAAAAATACATGTGTTGGTATGTTTTTATCAAGACGTGTCAGTATTTTCTCTACCAGAAAATTCTCTGACTCCGGCATTAATTTATGACACAGTCCTGATAACTCTCTTCCCTTTGCCTTTTTCTGTTTTTGAGAAGAGGTTAAAAATCAGTCTGCCTCAAGGAAGGCAGTTGAGTACTGGAGAAATCCTGGCACCTAGTTCTTTGGTTTAATGTCAGAAACAGAGTAACAAAGTTTGGAAGGTGCCTCTTCTAAGAGAATAATTGGAATGTCAGAAGCAGAGATCTAGTTGTAGTAACATGATCTCCTACCTGAAGCAAAGTACCCCTCCAGGGAGTCCTGAGTTCTGCTGGTATTAGAAGTAACAAGTCAATAATCGGTAAATTGGTTATTTTCCAGGATGAAGGATGTTTTACCAATGGAATTGTACTACAAAATTGAGTCCAACATTTATTTGCAAGTTACTATAAATTTTGGGGGAAAGAAATGCTAGAGAAATACCCGGAAATAGTACTGTGTGGCATTTCTTCAAGAACTAATTTGATTTTTCTTTGTAAGTTTGACTCATATTGCCTATTACCTTTTCCTCTGTGTATGTTGCACCTATTAGTCTAATATCTTGAGCATGCACACTGGCTTTTTAATCTTACGATTTTACACTCACAGAGCTATTGTTTGACTGAGGCACAATCATTTTTGCTACCTAGTTATATAAGAAAATTCACATGGAAATGGTACTTAAGTAAGAGTTTCAAAAATGAAATATTATACCAGCTAAGGTTAAATATGTAATTGATTTGGGTATCTTCTGTACAACCATGTTACTCGAAAGCCATATTTTAAAACTTTTATTGTTCTTAGAGTGAATTACTGGAATTTAACCGGCAGCAACAGGAGGAAGAGAGAACCAGAACCCACCAGGCTGAACACAAGAGGTATAAATGGCTAATAAAATTAGCATCTTTGGTTAAAACAATTACTTATAAAGTTTCTGCAGTTGTTTTAAGACATCACTATAGTTATATTGAATGTGTTTTAGAACCTGTATTACCTTTTTAATCTTTATATTATTGGGTATTATGTGTATATGAGGATGCCCACTGTTACACGCGTGGGCGCGCGCGCGCGCGCGCACACACACACACACACACACACACACACACACAATGCAGTTTTTCTGGATAGGTGGCATAAATTCACACTAGAAAACAGAATCATGCTCTTAAGCTATTTATTTGGGTTATACTTAATTTGCCTCCCAGGGAACAAAGCATTTAATTTGAGATGATCCTTTACTGTTTGTAGACCATTTTAGAATAATTGAACTCATCCAGATGCTGAGATACTCATACGAAAGCTCAGACAAGAACTATCTTATATTGACTAACATATTGGGGAAAATAGCTTAAAATAGAACCACTAAGCAAATTTCAAGTACTCTCTGTCTTATTCCTAACACCCAGTAAAATATCATACTGATATTGGCCTGGTATACTGACTCACATTGGTATACTGATATGATAGGTACCTGTCATATCTATCCTTATTCTAGGATTCTCCTGGGGGCACTTGGGTTATCCTAGTTTATTGCAGTGTGGTTGAAGATCTCAGAAGTATTTAATGTAGAGGCTCTCGAGATCTAAAGGAGCAAATTCTTTTTCTAAAACCGAGTGCTTTCACTTACAGGTTTAACCTTCCCACTGTTGCTAATGTGTGGTTTTAAATTGTGGTGCTTTCATTTTATAATTGAGACTTTAAAAAGTGTTCATGGAAGCTCCCGATTCTGCTGAAGCTGTGAACTATGGATGGGTACTCATATTCTTTTGACTGGATTATTATTGTGCTTCCATAATCCAGTCAAAATAGTTTTAAAATGTCAAATGTGAATTTATATGTTTTTTTCCAATTAAAAGAAAACATCAAAACTCTGAGACACTGGTTAGGCTATTTTGTTAGGTAAGGGGTAACGGTTACTGCTACCTTTGTTTTTGTTTCTATTTTAATAAAGTAGGTTATAAACTAGCTTAGTCTCTTATTGGTTTTTCTCATTTTCTGTTTAAAATTCTTTCTATTAAAAAAACTAAATAGGGGCGCCTGGGTGGCTCAGTCGGTTAAGCATCCGACTTCGGCTCAGGTCATGATCTCACGGTTTGTGAGCTTGAGCCCTGTGTCGGGCTCTGTGCTGACAGCTCAGAGCCTGGAGCCTGCTTCGGATTCTGGGTCTCCTCCTTTCTGTGCCCCTCCCATGCTCATGCTCTGTTTCTCTCTGTCTCTCAATAATAAATAAATAAACGTTAAAAAAATTTAAAACTAAATAGTGTATTTCTTTAACACCGGTTGTTAGTGGTAGCCAGTTATTTCTCTTTATTTCTCCCCCCCCCCTTATTTCTCTTTATTTCTGAGGACTGATTGGATTGTAAAGCTTTAAACATCTTAAAGATAGTGTGATATGTCACATTAATAGGCCCTGTTGCTAAGAAATTCATCTTCAATGGGCCTCAGATAAAAATGCAAGTTATTTGATCAGAGGTGGAAAGGATTACTTTCTTGTTATAGGAAACTTGGCCCTCATTCTTTAAGTGTATTTCCATACTGCTGCATACCTAAATATTGGGGGGGGGGGACTATTTATTTTCTATACTTTATTTTCTCTTTTTATGGATTCTAGTTAAATATAGATACAAATTTAATAGGATATCTCTCTGGGCAATAAACTCAGTAACCAGTTTTGAGATAACTGATCAAGGTTTTACACACATATTTTATGTTCTTAATCAGTTTTTGAAGACAGTGTGTGTTTGTATTGGGCTTTAGAGTTTATAGTGAGCTTTCCCATATTATATGAAAATACTCATTTGGTAGTCTTATAACGAATAAAATGCTGTGACCATTTCTGCTGAGGGCAGCAACACTAACTGTGTGTGTGTGTGTGTGTGTGTGTGTGTGTGTGTGTGTGTGTGTGTGACGTAAGTTAGATTTTCTCCAGGGACATAATTTTATTGGAGTCAAAAAGACAGTGTGCTTTCTACTGTTTAGAGGTGAGTTTTATAAGAGAAAGTTTATGGTATTCCTCACAAGTTTTTCAGTGTATCCAATACTGACTGAGCTTGGCTGCACCTGAACCTGACCCATCATAACTTTTTGAGTAAGAGAAGAAAGTTGAAACCTCAGAAAGAAAAGACAAAGCATGAGGGTCAAGGACTTGAAAGGATCTGGGCCATGAGCTGCAAACTGGAGTGAATTGAATCAATTTATTGAAACTTGAACCATCCTTAAGTAGATTTTATCCATATATATATTTTTTAAATCTTTATTCACTTTTGAGAGAGAGAGAGTGTGAGCAGGGGAGGAGCAGAGAGAGAGGGAGAGACAGAATTCAAAGCAGGCTCCAGGCCCTGAGCTGGCAGCACAGAGCCTGACGCGGGGCTTGAACTCACGAACCGTGAGATCATGACCTGAGCCGAAGTCGGACGCTCAACCGACTGAGCCACCCAGGTGCCCCAGTTTTTATCGATATTAACCCTTAGAAGAAAATCCAGAGTACTGCAGAGTAGTACAGAAAGGTCATGCACTTTCTAACGCTAGTAAACAAAACTATATAAACAGGTACTTTTTCTTTTGTTTGTTTTTCTTGATTCCTACTGAGAATTCAATCTCTTTAGTAAGTGATGTCCTCTTAGTAACTGGTGCTCAGAAGTGAATCATACCACTTGCTTACATGACAAGCCATCAGTCCTCCCAGTGTGTGAGCAAACTGAGAGCAGTGGACGACGGGCTGTTCTTCAGCCGGTACTCACCACCTTTGGGGGTTTCACGATGCAACTGCAGTCACAGAAGCAGACAGATGTGGGGACCACGCACCTGCATGATTCATGTATTCACCTTTTACATATCAAGGCACACTGTGTGAAGGCTTTGTTCTAGGCACTGGGAACAGGCGTAAAATAGCAGAGAACATCCCTGACTGCATGGAAATTACAATCGGGAGACGAGAAATAGAAGTCAACAGGTTGATAGCAGTGGTATTTCAGACAATGATATGTACCGTGAGGAACACATCCGGGGTGAGATTAAGGGAGAGATGGGAGGTCATAGTTCCTCCATGAAGAGGTAACATGAAAGGACAAGAGACCATCACATAGAGATTGGGGTCCAAAGTATACACTTAGATGTCCCCTGTCATCTGGTATGGGAGAAAATGCAAAGGCCCTAAAGTGGGAGTGACTTTGGAGTTTGAGTCTTTAGTGATTGGATTGTAGATGGTGAGGAAGAGAATACGGTGAAATGAGGTTGGCGGGGGCCAGGAAGTACAAGGTTTTGGAAGCCAGTGATTTTATTCTAAGACTAATGGGAAATCATAGGAGGGTTTTAAGCAAAAGGAAGGCATGATCTCTTTTATAATTTAGTCAGGTGGTTGTGTGGAGACCAAATTATAGAGGGTGGGAGTGGAAGCAAAAGCAAGGCCTGAGAGGATAATGATTTGGACTAGAATGATGGCCATGGAAAGAAATGGGTGAATTCAGGATGTGTTCAGCGGGTAGAGTCAACAGAACTTCTAGTGGTTTGGATGTGGGGTGGATGGGGGATGTGGAAGGAAAGCCCATCTTTGCTGACAAAAATACTAGATGAAAACAGTCCCAGGCACATGGGCAATCCAGAATACCCTTGGTTGTGTGGTTAAGGAGGATGAGGATCAGTTTTCTCTCTCTTTTCTTTTTCATCATGATATGTGTACTCTTTAATCTCTATCATCTATTTTATCCATACCCCACCCACCTCCCCTGTGGTAACCATGTTTATTCGTGATAGTTAAGAGCTTGTTCCTTGGTTTTCCTCTCTCTCTCTCTCTCTCTCTCTCTCTCTCTCTCGGTCTCTCTTTTTCCCTTTGCTTGTTTTGTTTCTTAAATTCCACATATGAGTGAAATCACATGGTATTTGTCTTTCTCTGATTTATTTCTCTCGGCACTATAACTCTACCTCCATCCGTGTTGTTGCAAATGGCAAGATTTCATTCTTTTTTATGGCTGAATAATATTCCCCTGTGTGTGTGTGTATGTGTGTGTGTGTGTGTGTGTATACACATATGTGTGTGTATATGTGTGTGTGTGTATATATATATATATATACACACACACACATATACACACACATACACATATACATACACATATACATGTGTATATACACATACACACACACACATACACACAACCTCTTTATCCATTCATCTATCAATGGACACTTGGGCTGCTTCCATAGTTTGGCTATTGTAGATAATACTTCAATAAACATAGGGGTTCATGTTTCCCTTTGAATTAGTGTTTTTGTATTCTTTGGGTGAATACCCAGTAGCACAATTACTGATCATAGGGGGTAGATCTACTTTTAAGGGTTGGATTTCTCTTAATATTCAGGTCTCTAGCTCAGTAACATACTGTTCAATCTGCATGCTGAGAAGTCTAGAAAAGGGGACATAAATATCGTACTCTTCAGTGAACCAGGCTGACTAGAATATGGCACTTGGGTATACTTTATGGTGAGAGAGGAAAAAAGAAAAACCTTTCTAGCAGCTAAGATGGGACTACCACCTGATAGGTCTTGAAGTTGTTGAGAAAATAGCAACCCAGTAAGCCAGAGAGAGCATTCTGGGTCAACATGCATTTGGCATTTTAGCTAGCACTGAACATTTTAGCTAGGCACAAAACAAACCCAGCCTCTGGCTTTGCCACCCAGCAGTCGTTATCCTCAAGGTTCCCAAATTCCCCAGTCATTGACTTATAGCCACCTACCATGACTACTTTCTGTTAATCTTCATGACTGAAAAGGAGGCTGTGAATGGGGCCTGCCTACCCTTCCTTCCATAAACATATACTGATCTGCTGCTATGCATCAGGCACTGTGTTTCTTTTCTTTTAAAATATTTTATTATTTTGGGGAGAGCACAAGTGGGGAAGGGGCAGAGAGAGGGGACAGAGGATCTGAAGCTGGGTCTGCACTGACAGGCTGACAGCAGTGAGCCGGATATGGGGCTTGAACTTACGAACTGCGAGTTCATGATTTGAGCTGAAGTTGGGTGCTCAACTGACTGAGCCGCCCAGGTGCGCCAGACCTGTTTCTGCCAAGAAGCTTATGGTCTTAATGATGCTATTCCTTAAGAATCAGTTGATATCATAGGGTACCTATTACAGCATTGTTTCTTCAGCTTCCATGTCCCTGACTCAACAATACATGGGCAACTGAGAGCATGGTGTTGCCTTTAATTTACTTTTTTTTTTTTTAAGTTTGTTTGTTTATTTTGAGATAGACACAGTATGAGTGGGGGAGGGAAGAGAGAGGGAGGGAGAATCCCAAGCAGGCTCCATGCAGCCAGCACAGAACCCAATGTGGGGTCCGAACTCATGAATCATGGGATCATGACCTTAGCCAAAACCAAGAGCTGGATGCTTAACTGACTGAGCCACCCAGGTGCCCCTAATTTACATTTTTTAATTCAAAAGTTGTAATATGTAACACACAGGAAAGTCCATGGATTAATTATAGGGGGAGCCTCTAAGTAGCCAGCTCTAGAAGTAGAATACAACCATCGGTTGTACCTTTATGATAATCATTTTCTTGCCTTTCCTTAAGGTGTCAACTCCTATGTGTTAAATTTAATTTTTGAAATCAGTTGCTGCAAGCATCACCAAACACGAGGGAAAGCTCTGCCCATTCTTTCTTTTGAAAGGTCGAGTTTCCCTCTTCTGATATTTCCCCTTTCTTATACTCTCTTCCCATTTTCCTTCTACTCTTCACTTACAGGATTTACTTTAGCGAGACTGACAGTGGGGTACAGGGCATACGGGAGGGACATCTGTGTTGCAGCAGCAATGCCACAGAGCTACTTCGGGTTCCCCTTCACGTTTTAGGTCTTGCTGAAGGTTCCGTCTTCCTTCAGCCTCTGGAGCTCACACCTGGCATGGCCCGCGAGGAGACAGTTGCTCGGGAACAAAGCTCTTGTTGAACTGGTAGAAGATGAGGGAATGAAGCTCTAAAGTTCAGAACTGTTCCCCCTCTGCCCACATCTGGCACCAGCTCCAGCCGATGGCTATTAACAGCCTGTCATATTGTCATATGGTTAATGTGAGAAGAAGTTTCTGTAGATTTCTTCTAAGCGGTGGGGGTAGGGGAAAGCAATCCCTACGGTCAGTTCATACAGCACCTTAGGTTCTCAAAAATCTCTCAGCCCTGTAGCACGCTTTCCACTTACACACATTTTTCATTGTTTTAAAGGGTAAATAATGCTTTTCTGGACCGACTCCAAGGCAAAAGTCAACCAGGTGGCTTCGAGCACTTTGGAGGCCATTGGAATATGAATAGTGGTAACAGCTGGGTGAGTTTTTTTCTTGTCTCTTAAAAAAAAAAATCTTTGAAAAGTAAAAACAATGAGAATTTAAAAAATATGTTGGGCCTTCTCCCAAGATATTATTTTTTTGGTGTGCTGTTCAGCTGTGTGATGGGCAGTCAGCCAGGGTGATTACTGTAAATTCCACAATAGTTTCTAGAGAGAAGGAGAAAGTCCAGGTTTCAGCTCTGGCCAATCACAATAAAAAATGACACCTGCCCTTTGCTCTCAGGGTAATTGCCTGGACTGTAAGGATTTTTTTTTATCACCCCTTTCCCAGACCCTACAACAAAAACAAATGAAAAAAAAATCTTCAAGAAGACTTTAAGTGCAATATGGTTATAAAAATAGTAAGCATTCTCTAGTAATATAGTCTTTCGGTGAAACGACCACATCAAAGAAACCAGTATTTAATTTTTCACTACAAAATGATTTTTAAAAAACCCTACAGCAAAAGGCACTTTCTGAAAATGAAATGTCTTTCTGGATTTCTGTGAAGAAATCATTGCAACTGTGTTGTAATATGTGTTTAATGTGTTTTGTGTGCACAATATATCATCGAACCCACACCAGATCTTCTCAATGTATGATTGCAGGGTTTGCAACGCGTACAGAATCAAAACTAACTATAGTGGGTTTTATAATTTAATTTAAGCCAAGTACATATGTACCTACTAAAAGAAATGGAACAGGTAGAGATCTTTAAACTGGTAAAATACAACAAAACAAGTGCTTGCTGGCCCGGAAACTCTAGAGATCACCCTTTAATAAATATTTGATGGACAAAAGATAATTTTTGAGAAGACAATCTGTTGGAAATCTTATGGATGTTTTCTTGAAAGGCGTTTAGTAGTTAAAATTGATGGATAGATCTAACAGTTCTCTTCAGTGTATACACTGGGCATGTCTTTCCATAACGCGTGCCCACGTGTATCACTGTGGCATTGAGAATAGGGACAAGATGGAAGAACAAGAAAAGAATCAAAACACAGTATCTTTCCATCATGAATTACAATTTACAAATTATTGAATTCCTTGTAAGAATATGTGAGTAGGAGTCATGTGGAAAATGGGGCATTGTGAGTGAGTTTGAGACGTTATCCAAATTCGTGGAATTTGTATGTCGTGAAACACGACTGGAAGTTTGATTTTGGACAGGACTTGGGAACTCTCTGCACGTTCTGTCCTCTACCTACCAACTCTCAAAATTTAGAAACTACTTAGAAAAATACCTGGGATTGAGGGGAGGATAATGGGAGAGAGTAAATGAATACCACATGGACTGCTGTTAAGGGAATGAGAATTTGGGAATCTGGTTCACCACCGACCATTGGTAGGCCTTATGGAAGTGAGCTATGAATCTCTGCTTAGATTCTTCATGGGTAAAAAGAAAGGAACACCATTTTCTCATGAGAGGAGTGAAGGCTATTAAAGTTTCCTTAGTAGGACAATCAGAACCAAGTCCAAAGTGGTTGTCGGCTCTTCCCTTACTTGAAGGAAGCTGTGACAAAGATGAGAGTTTCTTCAGGCTCCCGACTCCACCTCCCTATAGACATCCTTACCTATTTGCCTGTTTTTCCTTGGAGACCAGATTCTTACTCCTCCACCTACTGAGGGACTTTGCTCTAATGACACTCCCCTCTCTTCTGAATCATCAAATATTCATCTCAACTAGAAAATTCCCATCAGCATAAAATAGAGATACAAATTATATTGATATCCCCCTCCCTCTTGCTACTGTTCTATTTCTTTGTTCCTCTTTCAAGCAGAACTCCAAGAGGTATCTGTCCTTCAGCTTTTCTAATTTCTTTGTTCCCATTTCGCTTACACTTATTTAAATCAGAATTTAGACCTTATCCATCCAACCATAATGCTCTTGTCATGGTCACTTACAATGTCCACATTACAGAGTCCGGTGGTTATTTTTCAATCTTCGTCTTTTGATGTACCAGCATCATTTGTCATGGCGAGTCATTCCCTCCTCTCTGAAACTGTTTACTTGGCTTCTGGGGCACTAGTCTGTCCTGAGTTTCCACCAACCTCAGTGGCTACTCCTTTTCATTCTCCTTTGCTGAATCCCCTGCATCTTGTCCTCTCACCATTGGAGCACCTCAGAGATCCACCTTGGACCGCCTTCTGAATTTTATGTTCACTTAATACCTTGGTGGCCTTATTGGTTACCATTACGTTAAATACAATTTTTGTGCTTATTACTCCCGTGTTTCTTTTTTTTTTTTAATTTTTTAATGTTTATTTTTGAGAGAGAGAGCAAGCACATGAGCAGGGGAGGAGCAGAAAGAGCAGGAGACACAGAATCTGAAGCAGGCTCCAGGCTCTGAGCTGTCAGCACAGAGCCTGACCCAGGGCTTGAACTCGAGAACCACGAGATTATGACCTAGGCTGAAGTCAGACACTTAGCCGAATGAGCCACCCAGGCTCCCCTTAATACTCTCACATTTCTAATTCCAGCCTCTACCTCTTCCTTGACTCCAGACTTGCATTATCGATTTGTCCGCACAACATCTCTACTTGTATGTCTAATGGACATTTCAACCTTCACATGTCTAAAACTTGGTAGGACGTGATTGTCCTACTAAGGAAACCTTTGATCTGCTCTACCCAAAGGCTCCATCTGCACTCTTTGCTGTTTATATAATGGTACAACCCATCTCACATCTCATAACTGATCCATCAACAGATCTTTTTTTTTCTTTTCCTTCAAAATATATACAATCCAGTAGCTTTTCACCACTTCCACTACTATTACCCTGCTTCTAACCTCCATTATGTTTATCTAGATTCTCAAAAAAGTCTCCAAGATGGTTTCATTGCTTCCACACTTAGCCACTTAGAACCTATTCTCAATATAAGAGTGATCCCTTTGGAACAGAAGCCAGATCCTGTCACTTTCCTGCTTAAAATCCCCCAGTGGCTCCCATGACTCTCTAAATCCAATGGAGTGAAAGCCAAAGTCCATATAGTCACCTACGGGGTGCTACCTGATCTAGACCCCACTTTACCCCGCTGGTGCTCTCCTGCCACTGCCCTTCTTTCTTATTCCACTCAGCCATGCTAGTTTTCTTGCTTCTCTTTGAAAACTTAAGGACCTGGATGCTTTCACCTTAAGGCCTTTGCACTGGCTGCTCCTTCTGTACCTTTCTCCATATGATTTATTCTCCAAGCATTTTGTAGAATTCCACCCCATTGAGGTTTCCTTGGCCATTTATTTAATGCTGCCACCTGTGCCCTCATCCCTGGCTCTAGCCATACGTTTTCCAACCTCCACTTCCTTTTCTCTGGCACTCTGCAATTTCTTACATCTTTCTAATATTGTTTGCTTATATGTATTGTTGACTGTTTACTCTCAGTCTCTCCCTGTGATAATGCATGTTCCGTATTGTGTCAATCAGGGTCCTTTGATTGTTTTGCTCACTGATCTATCCCAAGCATAAAACAGTAATTGGAACTTAGCACAGGCACAAGGAAACAGGTGGCTGTGATTGAAGGTTGGCCAAACAACAAAGATTTAGGACCAAATGATTTGATATACCAAAATGCTTAGATACCAAATTGAAAATAGCTATGTATAAAACATTCAATGGACCAAATTTTGGATTTGAGACAATAAGGGAAAACAGGAGACAAAGACAAACAAAAAGATTTGAAAAAAGAACAAAATAGAACTTCTAGGAATAAAGAAATTTAATCTTTGGAATTAAAGCACTCAATGAACTCATCACAATAAAAGGAATTCGAATTAGGAATTAAATCAAAATACCATTTCTCATCTATTATTTTGGCAAAAGAACAAAAGTTTGGCAATATACTCTGTTGGCAAAGCTGTGGGGATAAAGGTTCATTCACACACTGTTGGTGAGAATTCAAAATGATGTAAACACTATCTAAATTAATTTGTCACTGTCTTTTCATAAAATAAAAACCAGACCTAGACATATTGCAGAAAAGTTGTACGAAATGTTGAAGGAACAGATAATTTCAAATGTCTAGAAAGTTTTCCAGATAAATGAAAAAAGAGAAAATATTCTCTCAAAGGATTAAGCAAGTGAATATAACTTGAATCAAAATTACACAAACACTATACAGAAAAAAATATATGTATGTAAGCTCACTCATAAACAGATTGAAAATATCACAAATTTTGACAGATTTATCACAAATTAAAAAACAAAAAAAACTGAGATGGTTTATCTCATAAATTATAGGAAAAATACCATATGATCATCTCAATAGATACAGGAAAAAGAAACAACTTGATAAATTTCAATACTCATTTGTGGTAAAAATTGCTAACAAAGGAGGAAGAGAAAGGACATTTCTTTAGCTAATAAACTGATCAAAATTCTATAATAAAAATACATCAAAAGCATTTCCTTTAAATCATATATAAAATTTGAAAGGAAAAGAAACATTTATAATTAATAGATGACACAATCATTTACTCAGAAAATCTGAAGGAATTGATATTTCAGTTATTAGAATAAACGAGGAGCCAACAATGTTGGTAGATGCAGGATCAATATGTAAAAACTCACTTCATTTTTATACATTGTGAATAAACAAAAAATTTAATAAAAAGATAAAACCAAAAATGCACATAACCTTTAAAAATATATATAAATTTTTTATAGAAAGACCCTAAGGAACAAATGAATGAAGAAGTTATACCTTGTTTAATGGGTAGAAATAGGAATGAGCTCTCAAATTATCTATAGATTTTATTAAATCCTAATCAAAGCAAAGAACCAAGAATAGCCAATTCACTCCTAAAGATAAAGAAATATGTACGGGGACTTAGTTAAATATTTTATATGGTCTGGAATTGGCCCAGGTGGACCCAGCCATTTCTGGAATTCTGATGTATGACAGAAGGCAGAGCACATTATTGGGGGAAGATGAACTCTTTAACAAATTGCTGGCGGGACAAATTGAGAACCCACATGGCATTGTAACCAGTTAATTCCAGGTGGATTAAGGCTTATAAGTAGAAATGAAGACTTTTTAGATTTTAGAATAGACTACAAAATTGAGGATTTTGTAAGACCCCAGGTATAAACCAAAAACTAATGATAAATATGCATTAAAATGAAACATCTGTTCATCAAAGGACACCGTACAAAAGAAAGAAGTCATATATGAAGATTTTGTAAATAAGTGGGCAAAACGTTAGTATACAGAGGTGTTTAGACTGTGTCATTTATTTAGAAGTTGGTTGCTGACACCTGAGCTACCCTGGGAATGATCGAGAGGAGCTCACAGATAGGGCTTGGAGGAAATACTGGAATCAGTAAAAGGCTCAAAAAGAAGAAAAGGAAGAAGGCAGAAAATATGACAAAACAATAATGAAAGCCAAAGAGAGAAAAACTTGATTTTTGAAACATCATATAAGCACTTAAGTAGCAGGCATTTAATAAGTATATTTTGGGTAGACAAATGAGATTGATCTTTATCTTTAAATCTTTAACATTTAAGTCACATTCTTCTCATATTGCTTTATATATATATGTATTTTTTTCTTTGACAATTTAAAATTGCTGTTACATTTTAAAAAATTTTGGTTTTCTCGACCCCTCGACTTTTCATGATGTACGTAGGGTAGGATGTTGAAAGAATCACTTCAAATTCTCTTTGATGTCAGTAGGTGAGACCCTTTGAAATGCTGTGGAACCCTAAATCCTATGTCTTCAAGGGCATTTGAGCATTTGCCATGACCTATGAGGCAACCTGAGATTTTAGTTTCCCAGAATGTTAGAACAGCAATAGTCTGAATGCCAAGTCTAACTTGGCCCCAGCATTCTGGTGGCCTGATGGAGAATTCTTGATCGTTTGCACATGGTAGGGGGCAGAAGGAACTCATTTAGTCCATCTCCCTAACTCAAGGTCGCCTTAGAAGTCAGCTTTCTGCTGTACAATATGGCGCCATTCTACTCCATACATTTCCATTTAAATTGTTCTGCTTCACACTGTGCTTGTCCTGTCCTTGCTGTAACTATGGAGGTGGGTGACAATATTTGCGAACACTATTATTTGTGACCTATGTTAGCCTATCTCTAAGAACACAGCTGATGAGCTGTCATTCAACAAGCCATTACATTGTTGACAGAGACTATTTTGTGAATCCAATGCAATGGGACTTGAAAATTAAAACATGTCACTGGGACATTAAATCATTAAAAAATAGGCATTAAACTCAATATAGTAAGAGTATTCTTTGAAGGAGCTTCAGATTGGACTTTAAAGGGTTTTGAATTTTGTTTTGCTGCTTGTACTAATTTTTGTTTTCTTTTGCTTCCAGGATGTATGAGAAATATTTACTTACATCTGTCCTTTGTCAACGGACCTTGAAGAACATCACTCAATGCTTTTCCTTCATGCTGCTTTGTTTATCCTTACTGTTTTCACCTTGACTTCAACTGCCCACTCACTCAGCTGAACACGTGGGAATGACCCGTTTTCCCCTGTCATTATTTACACGTGCTTGCAGGAGCTGATTGCTGAGCTCATGCTTAATTTCTACTTCCAGTGAAATGTTGCACTGTTTTTCTCATTGGTTTCACGTCTTATTGGAAGTATAATTACAGCCATGTTAGTAAGATGAAAAAGGAGGGAATCATTTGCTGCTTTCAGGTGTATAAGAGCTATACGGGTGCTACAGGCTTATCTCTCTGAGTAGCTAACTCTTACGTAATTCTCAGATCAGGTTTGGGGAATCTTGGGCATTTTTTTTTGGATTTTAAGCTCTACTTAATCCAGGGTACAAACTTGAGAAAAAGATAAAAAATAAATCTTTTATATTCTTTTGAACACACTTTTAAATAAATTTTGAAATACTTCTGTGTAAATGGTTTGTTTTATTTTTAATGAAAGGCTCTAGAGTTTTTCTCTCTTGATGGGTCTCATTTTTATATTCTTTGTAGCTCATATAGATTAATTGTAAGACCTTAATCACTATCGGATATGCCTTTGGTCTTGATTTACTTACTAATACTGTTCCTCTGCTTTTTCATAGCGGTTCAGTTAATTCCCTGAAAGGATGTTGTTTATATGAAAATCAACTAGATACAAATGTAGATACAAAGTGTGCTTTATAGGTGTTTGGGAATCCTGTCTTTTCTCTATGCAACTTATTTATGATAGCTAATTCAGTAGGCTTCTCTATTCTACTTTTATGACCTTTAACCAAGTTAAAAAACCTTAGAGTGTAAGAATATTGGTTTTCCATGCTTTATGCTCCACCCCACTCCATGTTATATAGGAAAGCATTGCATTTAGTCATAGAATGAAGGTTGGAAGAGCAAATAATTTTTGCAGCTGGGCAATTAATGCTGTTTTTTTTAAATGACGGGTAGTTGACATATAATGTTATATTAGTTTCATGTGTATAGTTTAGTGAATTGACATTTGTATACATTGCAAACTGATCACCACTATTAGTCTAGTTACCCTCTATCATCTCGCAAAGTTAATACAATATAATTCAGTATATTCTCCATGTTGTACATTCTATCTCCATGACTTACTTATTTTATAATTGGCAGTTTGTGTTTCTTGATCCCTTTCATCCACTCCCCCATTTCTCCAAAACTCCTCTGACAACTTCTCATCTGTTCTCTGTATCTGTGTGTTTGGGTTTGTTTGTTTTGTTTATTTGTTTTGTTTTTAGGTTCCACATACAAGTGAAATAATGCAGTATTTGTCTTTCTCTGACTTATTTCACTTAGAATTATGCCTTCAAGGTCCATCCATGTTGTCACAAATGACAAGATTTCATTCTTTTTTATGGCTGAGTAGTATTCTGTTATATATATCTACCACATTGTCTTTATCCATTCATTCATTTTTTTAAAGAATTTTTTTAATGTTTATTTATTTTTGAAGGTGAGAGACACAGAGTGTGAGTGGGGGAGGGGCAGAGAGAGAGGGAGACACAGAATCTGAAGCAGGCTCCAGGTTCTGAGCTGTCAGCACAGAGCCCGACGCGGGGCTCGAGCTCACAAACCGCTAGATTGTGACCTGAGCCGAAGCCGGACACTCAACCAACTGAGCCACCCAGGTGCCCCTATCCATTCATTCGTTGATGGGCATTTAAGCATTGTTTTCATATCTTAAAAAAAATTTTTTTAATGTTTGTTTTTGAGAGAGGGAGAGAGAGAGAGACTGTGAGCAGGGGAGGGGCAGAGATGGAGACACAGAACTCGAAGCAGGCTTCCAATCTCCGTGCTGTCAGCACAGCGCCTGACACAGGACTCAAACTCATGAACCATGAGATCATGACCTGAGCTGAAGTCAGGTCATGACTTCAAATAAGCCAAATAAGCCACCCAGGTGTCCCTGTTTTCATAGCTTGGCAACTGTGAATAATGTGGCAATGAACATAGGGGTACATACATCTCCAATTAGTGTTTTTATTTTCTTCAGATAGATATCCAGTAATGGAATTGCTGGATCATATGGTGGTTTTATTTATAAATTTTTGAGGAAACTCCATACTGTTTTGCATTGTGGCTGAGCTAATTTATATCACTACCAACAATGCATGAAGTTTCCCTTTTTCTCACATCCTTGCCAACACTGAATTCTTGTCTTTTGGTAGTAGCCATCTGACAGATGTAAAATGATATCTCCTGTTGTTTTGATTAGCCTTTCCCTGATGATTAATGATGTTCAGCATCGTTTCATTTGTCTGTTGGCCATCTTTATGTCTTCATTGAAAAAATGTCTGTTCAACTCTTTTGCCCATTTCTTATTTGAGCTTTTTGTTTTGTTTTGTTACTGAGTTGTAGGAATTCTTTATATATTTTGGATATTAAACCCTTACTAAATACATGATTTGCAAATACCTTCTTCTATTCAGTAGGTTGCCTTTTCATTCTGTTGGTTTCCTTCACTATTCAGAAGCTTGATGTAGTCTCATTTGTTTATTTTTGCTTTTGTTTCCCTTGCCTTTGGAGTCAGAAAAAATATCCCTAAGACTGATGTCAAGGAGCTTACTGTAAAGAAGTTTTCCTTTAGGAGTTTTGTGGTCTCACGTCTTATATTCAAGGCTTTAATTGATTTGGGGTTAATTTTTGTTTATTGTATAAAATAATGGTCTAGTTTCATTATTATTATTATTTGCATGTAGCTCTTCAGTTTTCCTGGCGCCATTTGTTGAACAGTCATTTACCCATTGTGTATTTTTGCCTTTGTCATAAATTAATTGGTCGTATATGCACGGGCTTATTTCTGGGCTCTCTGTTCTGTTCCATTGATCTATGTGTCTGGTTTTATGCTAATACCGTACTGTTTTGATTACTACAGCTTTGTATTTTTTTCATTATTTTTTATTTATTTATTTTTCTTTTTTTTTATTTATATATGAAATTTATTGTCAAATTGGTTTCCATACAACACCCAGTGCTCATCCCAAAAGGTGCCCTCCTCAATACCCATCACCCACCCTCCCCTCCCTCCCACCGCCCATCAACCCTCAGTTTGTTCTCAGTTTTTAAGAGTCTCTTATGCTTTGGCTCTCTCCCACTCTAACCTCTTTTTTTTTTTTTCCTTCCCCTCCTCCATGGGTTTCTGTTAAGTTTCTCAGGATCCACATAAGAGTGAAAACATATGGTATCTGTCTTTCTCTACTACATCTTTGTATTATAGTTTGAAATCAGGGAGCCTGATAACTCTGGCTTGTTCTTTCTCAAGATTGTTTTGGATATTTGGAGTCTTTTGTGGTTCCATATAAATTTTAGAATTATTTGTTTTAGTTCTGTGAAAAATGCCATGGGAATTTTTATAGGGATTGCGTTGAATCTGTAGATTGCTTTGGGTAGTGTGGACATTTTAACAATGTTAATTCTTCCTTCTAACATATGAGCACAAAATACTTTCTATTACTTGTGTTGTCTTCAGTTTCTTTCATCAGTGTCCTACATCTTTCAGTGTATGGGTCTTTCACCTCCTTGGTTAAATTTATTCCTAGCTATTTTATTTTTTGGATGTGATTGTAAATAGAATCATTTTTAAAATTTCTTATTGTTCATTATTAGTGCATAGAAATGCCACAGATTTTTATATATTAATTTTGTATCCTGCAACTTTACTGAATTCATTTATTCTAATAGTTTTTTTTTTTTTTTGGTAGAGTCTTTAGGGTTTTCCATATATAGTATCAAATCATCTGCAAATAGTAACAGTTTTACTTGTTCCTTTACAATTTGGATGCATTTTATTTCTTTTTCTTGACTAATTGCTCTGGCTAGGATTTCTAATATTATGTTGAATAAAAGGGGGGGAGGAAGTGAGCATCCTTTTCTTGTTTTCGATCTTAGAAGAAAAGCTTTCAGCTTTTCACCATTGAGTCTAATATTAGCTGTGGGTTATGAATGTTCCCTCTACACTCACTTTATTGAGGTTTTATCATGAATGGATGTTGAATTGCATCAAATGCTTTTTCTGCCCCTACTGTGATGATCATATTTTTATCTTACATTTTATTAATGTGGTCTATTGCAATTGATTTGTGGGTGTTGAACCATCCTTGCATCGCTGCAATAAATCCCACTTAATTGTGGTATATGATCCTTTTAGTGTTGTTGGATTCGGTTTGCTAAAATTTGGTGAGCATTTTTACATTTGTGTTCACTAGGGATGTTGGCCTGTAATTTTGCTTTGTTTGTGATGGCCTTGTCTGGTTTTGGTGTCAGGGTAGTGCTTATAAAATGAGTTTGAAAGCATTGTCTTCAATGTTTTTTGGAAGCCTGTCCCTCAGACTGAAGCTCCAAGCTGAGTAAATAAGCCTTTTCATAGGAAGACTGGATTGTTTTTCAGTCTGCCATCTGTACAGTACCCTGGGGGTGGTGGGCTTCCAAGAACTGTCTTTCTTACTGTTCTATTCCTGGGAAGCTCACAATGCTAGCCTCCTTGGCCACCACGGCCAAGTGATTAAGGGGAATTCCTGTGTGTCCCTGTTGGCTTTAGCTAGGCAGTGGAAAGTGGGGTGGGGAATGCTCTCTGGCTTCAGAAAATGTCTTGACTGAATGTGCCCCAGGGGCTTCAGAAATGCAGCGACAGAGTGCCTTGTCTGTGTGCATGTACCAGCTTTAGGCTGGGAGCAGAATGCCATGACTGCTACACTTGTTAGCCCCAGCCAAGGATTGGGGGAGTATTGCAACCTTCCACACTTCATAGACTTTAGCTGGGGAACAGGAGAATGCTGCCACTGTTCAAATTTGCCGGCTCCAGCCAGGGACTAGGGGAATGCTATGGCCACCTGTGCTCTCTGGCGTCAGCAAGGCGGTAAGATAGTGCTGTGACCACTGGCTTCTGGCTGTCTTAGCAAAGTGCTGGGAGGGTTCTGTGTCCAGGCTTACCCATCTGTGCCAGCGGGCTAGACAGAGGGTCCAAAAATGACATCTGCCAATACCTCCATCTCTGGGGGGCGTTTCAGCTGTCTCCTACCCCTCCAGCAGCTATGTTTAGGTTAGTAAATGTATCTCTTTCACATATAGTCTAGGTGCTTTTCAAACTGCTGTTTATTCCTGCTGGGTCTTGGGACAAATGACACTGTATTGAGCCCTTTACATGGAAAATCTCAGTCTCCTACAGTACTTTGAGTCCCTTGGATGTCAGCCCTGTTGATTTTCTAAGTCAGAGGTTTGGTGGAGGCGGGTGTTCATCTCTCTGGTGCAGATCCCAGGGGTTTGGGTGCCAACCCCTCACTCCAGCAGAAGTGCCAGACTGGTGAGATCCCTATTGTAGGTCCCAAGCTGGGGGTGGGGTTTTTTGGTGAGACTGTGCCTGTACTTTGCTACCCATCTCAATATTGGTCTTTTTATCCTTTTTGTGGAGAAGCAGTTCA